TTCGCTCCTTCGACGACGTTTTTATATCGGATCTGAAACCACACCTCCTTGCCGTTCTCTGTTGGTTTGGAAGTAAGCACGACTAGGGGAGCTTGCTCTTGCTCATTGCCAAGGTAGCCATCTTTCTTTCTTTCGCGCGCTTCTTCGGCCAAATCCTGTTAAATCCGCCGAACGACGGGATTTGTATTTAGGCGGATTTACTCGGATTTACGCTGTAAATCCGTAAATCCGGATTTGCGCAGGCATCGGATTTAAGCGACCTCAAAAAACCGTTTGGCTGGATTTAGCGTAAATCCGACTTAAATCCCGCTGTAAATCCGATACCAAACAGCCCCTTAGAGACGTCTAGGGTTTGTTCTTCATCTTCTCTTTTTAGTCGTTGCTGTTCGGCTTCGTTGCTACGAATCACTTCTTCGGCTCCTTCGTTGCTGTTCAACTTCGCTCCTTCGACGACGTTTTTATATCGGATCTGAAACCACACCTCCTTGCCGTTCTCTGTTGGTTTGGAAGTAAGCACGACTAGGGGAGCTTGCTCTTGCTCATTGCCAAGGTAGCCATCTTTCTTTCTTTCGCGCGCTTCTTCGGCCAAATCCTGTTAAATCCGCCGAACGACGGGATTTGTATTTAGGCGGATTTACTCGGATTTACGCTGTAAATCCGTAAATCCGGATTTGCGCAGGCATCGGATTTAAGCGACCTCAAAAAACCGTTTGGCTGGATTTAGCGTAAATCCGACTTAAATCCCGCTGTAAATCCGATACCAAACAGCCCCTACATGATTTAGTATAAAGCCTTCTCAAATCCTGCATAAATCATGCATCAAAACGGCCCCAAGAGAACTTCTTATTCATTTGCATGTGGCTGACTTACTTAGTGAATGAACAGCTTGGGCTGTCAAAAGGCTCGTCGTTCTCGAATAGCTCACGCTTGTCTCGTTAAAAAACTAGCGTTCGATTCATTCCTTAAGTACGCAAGCTAATTATGATTAGTTATTTCGAGCTTGTTTTCCTTCACATGCCAAACGTAAACATAGCCTTGTTAGATCATGTTCTTCTAGTCATTGGATTAAAATGAATATATATATTTGAAATTTGTATTATTAATTTATAGTTTCCAATAGTTATTAATTAGTTAGGAGATAAATAAAATGAATCTTGTGTGTTCGGCTAATTATTTAATTATTTTTGTTTGAGATCAGCTTGTGTTTTGTTCATTTTTTGCTTGAATTCATCAACAACAACAACAACATCAAGCCATTATCCCATTATGTATGGTTGGCTACATGAATCCTTTTTCTCCATTCTGAATTAGAAATTCATTGGCTTGAATTCAAATGAAACAAAAAATGAACAACAATGTTCATTAACAATTTCAAACAAGAGCCAAACATGAAAACATGGCAAGCTCGCTCTCGATTTATTTGCATCACTAACAACAATAATCTTGCGTAAGAAATGTTATAAAGAGTCTTATATGTCCTTCTCATATACCAATAAACCAAAATTCATAGATTTTACATGCAAGAAAAAATGCATATGATAATTTTTCATCTACAGTGTTGTATTCAAAATCTACTTATAATTGTTCCAATGTTCTTCCTAATCCATAACTAAGAATATACAATTATAGTTTCTACAGTGTCATTAAAAGTAAAGTGTTTATATACCATCTTATGGAATATCTCCCCACAAATGTAATTGTGAACTAAATCCATTTACTCTATCACTGACTTTGTATTATTCTTTACTTTATTTTGTATTCGTACGAAAGGAAAAGGTAAAATAGTTAATAAATAAAGTTGAACTTTAATTTCTTAAGGCCAATGTAATGGATGCCATGTATAATATCAAGCCAAAAACAACTTTTTTTATAACATTAAACCAAAGTGCTAGGTGCTGTCAGACAATATCATTGCCCAATGTTTGAGCCTTGAGGCACTAAACTCACCTAGGTTAATCCATGATCAAGGATAGACTCTTAAAATGAAATACTACTTCACTTAACAAAATTATTTGAATTATTGGGAAAAAATTTAAGATTATTAAAGGATAATCATCTTAAATTATGTTGGGAAAGAATAATGAGTTTCAAATTTTGTTGTATCCCAAGTTTAAAAAAAATAATTGGATAGATAATTTATAAGCCAGCACCAAAAATTCTAAAAATGGTGATTTGTCAAATGCATAGCATAAGTATAATCTAATCTTCATTATTATTTGTTCCATCTTCATCAATATCCATGTTTTCTTCTCCATAATTAGATTTTCATATCCCTTCTTTTGTTTCTCTCGTCTCTAACTTATTACCTTATCCCTGAGATTTATTACATTAAAGATTGAATATCTTGCTGCTACATTTGATCTAATACCTTTTCCAGTTTTTATTATTGTTTTTTTCAACACTTGACATTCTTTTCAGATCACATAGATTCAAAACATTATCATGAAATATCATGAAAAACTAACTTATCTTTTTCATTTGAAGTATTAACGGATGGTGCTTACCTTATTGCACTTGTTCGCCTAGGAAACACCTTAGTAAGGACGATCGGAGTTTTGTAATCTGCTATGGCCTCACCTCATCTTATTGGGGTTTTAGGCGAGCATGCAGCTTGCCTTTAATAAGACTAAGCCTAGCATATTATTTTAATTAATTTACATTCTTCTTAATAGAAACATCTAGATATTACTAATTACACATTCCAAAGTATGAATTAATCATAATATATAGTTTATTGTCAAAATTTTGGCTTTAGTTCCTTTTTATGAAGAGATCGAGTGTAGTGTTTAGTTGATTTCATTTTGCAGTTTTCATATGCTGAATGTTTTGGACTTGTTTCTAAGTAAACATTCTTGTGCTTGGTTACTAAATTTTCAAATCTCCCGTGTAATTGTTGTATTTTACTGCATTTTTGCTCTAATGTTTTGAGCAAGAGTGTATTATTTGTTGTTATCATTACCTGTCAATCACTAAAGCAGGGGCGCCCAAGGTAAATGTGGTTGATTTTTATACAATGATGTTGATTTAATTTTCATTCTATAACATTTAATTGATGCGATGGAATTGGACAAAACCAAATTATATGCTTAAATTCTACTGGATACTCTGTGTGTCTAGTTGAAACAATTTATTTATTTATCTTTTAATTGGCGAGGCCAAACTACATTTGGTTTTGGTTATGCATTATTCAAATTTTATATTAAGATGATGATGAGACGGTTCTATTAAAGGTCAGAAACATCAGTGCACCTATCACTTTTTTTTCATTGTCTTCTTGTTTATGCTATCTTTTTCGATTGTTAGAACCTAAAATTCTATGGAACACACTACTGATTCTTTTTTTTTTTTTAAGAAACTTGTCAAATTCCCTTCATTATTGATGGATTCTCAGCCAGAACCTGTGAGTTATATTTGTGGAGGTAATCTCTTATTCTTTCTCTTTGTTACTCTTTTCTTTGACTTTATTTAATGGTATTTTTGAAAGTATTTTCCATACAGATTGTGGTGCGGAGAACACGTTGAAGCCAGGTGATGTGATCCAATGCAGGGAGTGTGGATATCGTATTTTGTACAAGAAACGTACTCGCAGAAGTATGTGTTTCCATTTTCTTAAGTAGAATTATGTAGGAGTGGATAGATCTAATTTAAAGCCTATTTAGTCCCGGCTCAAACTTGGGTCATAGATTTAATCAATTCAATTTGGAGTTGGTTTGAAATGACTTGATTTTTCCTTTTAAAATTAAAAAATTATAAGAATTAATATGCATATGTATATTATGAGTAAAAATGGCATGTATTACTGCTGGTTTTCTAATGGCAACGTTGCCAGTCATATTGCTACATGGATCTATTTTACATGCCAAGCCATGTTTTATTGCGTCTTCATGTTCTTTGTTGCTTCTGATTTCTCTCCTTTATCGTGTGGATAAATTTGCATTTTAATCTGCATGGTTCTATTTTCTAATGTAAAATTGCCAAGCATGTTTTCTTACACTTTATTATTCTGTTTTGTTTCCGATCGTTCTTTTTGTCCTTTCTTATGTGCATGATTTTAAATTTTAATCTACAAACGTAGGACACTTGTAGGATGTACAAATCCTTAAGCTGAATAAAAGAGAATGAGTTGACATAAACTAATGTTATGCAATTGCATGCAAATTCTAATTAGGTAGATGGAGTTGAAAGATTTCTAAGAAAAGGATTCTAGCGTTCATAAAGATTACATTCAAGAACTTTGCTCTTTGAAGAGAAATGAAGATCATATTCAAGAACTTTTTGAAAGGAAATAAAGATCACATACAACTTTTCTCTTTTTTGAAGAAGATGGAGATCATATTCAAATACTTCGTTTATTTGGGCAAAAATGAAGGTCAAATGAGATCTAAACATACTTTGGTAACCCAATTAGTGATTCAGCAGTGATCATATTCATCGTAATGTTTCATGTTTATTGAGGAAATTTCGGTAATATTACTTTTATCCTGATCCTGACAAAAAATACTTCGGTGTACAGTAAAAAATTGAATTTCTTAGTTTTTTTTTAATTGAATTTCTTAGTTAAACTCTAGGATAAGGGGCTGTTTGGTTTATTACTTTGTCTGAAAAAAGAATGCAATGTAAAAGGAATATTTTAGAGTTGTTTTGATGAACGTAGGTGAATGATTTTTTTTGTTTGGCTAGAAGTAATGAATGTAAAGTAAAATCCTAATTGGTTTCGGCCGGTCGCGTATCTGATCAACGACTAGCCTTAATCAGAAGTTCTCTCTCGTGATCGGGAGGGGTAATTAACTATAGGGGCTTGCGCCTATAGGAAACCAGAACTCAGATCATAAAGTCCTCATAAAATGAGGGCGAAATCTCTGGGTAGTGTCTTATCTACAAACCCATCTGCCTTCCAAAATTTACCTCGGAACTTAGCTCGTTAAAACTCCCTCGCCGAAAAAGAAAGAGCGAGCGGAGGCCGGGGCCGAATTTTCGGAGCCCACAATTACATGTACTATACTTTTCCTCATTTTTTATTCCAACCAAACCCCAAAATTTATAAAATCCCTTCATTTGTGATATTTTGCATCATAAAGTAATCCAACCAAACAGCCTCTAAAAGTTGGTTGTATCATGACCAGTGGCGGATTTATAGTGGGTGCCCTGGGGCATGGGCCCCCACTGACAAATTAACACTTAACAGAAATATATAGAAATAAAAGCCGACAGCTTTAACCCTTCAAAATCCCCACTGCCCGTTAACTGAAACTTATAGGAATAAAAGCCCACAGCTTTAACCCTTTAAAATCAAAAGCGACCACCCTGGGATTTGAACTAAACAACTCTGGTTTTGATAGTTAACGTGTCCATTAAGCTATAGAGGCCATCTGTGAATCAGATTTTACTAATTTTATATTACTTTCATTCAATCCGATATTAATCTTCTTCTTTCTTCTCTTTGCCTGTATCACTAATAAAATATAAAATTTAATAAATTATTTAAAATAAATATTACTTATTTTGAAAGATAAAAATATTATTTTAGAGCTAATAAATAGAAAGACAACAAAAATCACTTTAAAACTATTAAGAGTAACTTGAAAATTTATCAATATATATTCTCACTAATAAAAATTTCTAGTTCCGCCCCTGATCATGATGTACTAGAGTACCAGCTTTGGAGTGCCTGCAATGATAGAACGGTCGAAAGACATCAACATGAAAAGCAATTTAAGAAAAAAAAAATACAAAAATGAAAAATGAGAAATAGAAGGGTGGCGACCTTTCTTTTACCACAAATCACTGGTCAACATGATCATTTTTTTATTCATGACCTTACATGCTAGCTTTGGTATATCTAACCTTCTGTAAATTACTACTTGACGATCTTAATAAGATTTTGTGTTTGTGTCTAACTGTTTTCCCAACAAATCTGGTCATATTTAAGCTTTGGCATGAATTATCAAGTAAATCTTAGAGTAGTGACTAATGTGAAAACTTGTAATGATCCTTGTCTTTTAAAGGGAATTAAAAACCCTTTTTTTTATCATTGCAATGTAATCATCTTTTCTTATTTTATTTTTCATTTCAATATTGTTTTACATCCTCTGAATTTGCTTTACCTTCTATTTTTTGATTTTCTGATTCCCCGGTCCAATCAGACACAGCATTGTAAGATTTCTTGTTGAATACTTATCTTCACCGCTACTCTTCTTTTCGCTCTTATTGTTCAAATATGAAGCACATTTCAGGTAAATAAATTATTTCTCATCTGTAGCTTGATGTGCTTTTTGATGCAGTTGTTCAATACGAAGCTCGCTGATGGTTAACGAAACGTACCATGGCTAGTTATGCTGGAAAATAAGTTTGGGACAAGTTATTTTGGCTTTTTTTTTTTTTTTCTTTTGTTTTTTTTTTTAAGTTATCTGGGCTATATGTGTTTGTTACATGTCTGCATTTCTAGTGTTGTAAAAACAATTTTTCTTTCTGGACTACCACCCTCTGCTGAATATTGTGCTTTGCAATTCTTCAAACACTAAAAACAAATTATATTACTTATAGTAATTGAGTGTTGATTTGGTGTTGTCAAATGTGCCTAAACCCAACCCCTACTCTCTGTTTTGAATTGTTATAAAATTAATGTATTGTTCCAGATTTTTTGCCGAACTGCTTGATGTTTTCTTTTTTTGTTTATTCGGTGTTGTAAATGTGATTAAGGCTTCGTTTGGGGTGGCTCTTTTAATTTTTGTATTAAAAAGTTGCTTTAAAAGCTGTAAGAAAGCCATTCCAAACGAAGCCTAAACTTAACATTGCTTTATTTTTTTCGAAATAGCTTGAAGCATGGCATTCATGGATTGCTCCTGATTTTTGCTAAACTGATGTAGGTAACCTGCAAGAAAACAAGAAGGCAAACCCAATGGAACAGTAGAGAGACAACGTCTCTGTGTATTGTGTATTAAGATCAAAAAACTAAAAACCTTACAGCTTCCTCTAGAGTATTTTATCTACTCAGTATTACTAAAAGCAGGGACTGAAAAGTAAAAGCAACTATTAGTACTATATAACTACTTAAGGGACGGGTAGTAGTGGGGAAATAGCTGCAACCAGAGAATACTAACTAACTAGATAAGTTGTCCCTTCGGACTGCTATAACCATGTAAAACTATGCTCCGCATCATTCGCCCCCGCCGTGAGAAGACTCCACAGTGACTGGACTGTCATCTGGTGGGGCATAAGCGTAGATATCGGCCACATTGAACGTATGGGAGGTGTTAAATTCTGCCGGTAGATCAACGACATAAGCATTATCGTTAATCTTCTTGCTAATAGAAAAAGGCCCCCATTTCCGTTTACTGAGTTTGGAGTGGTGTCCTGCTGGAAGTCGTTCTTTGCGCAGACGTACCATTACTAAGTCTCCAGGACTGAACAGCCGCTCCCTTCTGTGCAAATCCGCTGCTTGCTTGTAATGAGCATTGGAATCATGAAGTTTCATTTTAACTTTAGAAAGCAGCTCTGTAAACTGATCGGCTAACAGAGAGGCGGCCTTATTTTTGCATTTGGGAAGAACTGCAACATCAAGTATGGTGTTGGGCATTTTAGTATAAACAACACTAAAAGGGCACATACCCGTGGACCGGTTTGGCATGGAGTTGAAGGCGAATTCTGCTTGACCAAGAACCTCGTCCCAGATTTTAGGATGCTCCTGCACTAGACAGCGAAGTAAGTTGCCAAGAGTACGGTTAACTACCTCTGTTTGCCCATCGGTTTGGGGGTGATAGGAAGAACTCAGCTGAATTTGCGTGTTCAGTCGTTTCCAAAGTTCCCTCCAAAAATGACTAATGAACTTGACATCTCTATCCGAGGTTAAGCTCCTCGGAATCCCATGTAAGCGAACGATTTCTTTAAAGAAGAGTTTAGCAATGTTCAATGCATCAAACGTCTTCTTACAGGCGACGAAGTGCGCCATCTTGGAAAACCGGTCTACTACTACCATAATAGAGTCATTGCCATGCTTCGTTCGCGGTAAGCCCAACACGAAGTCTAAACTCAAGTCTTCCCAAATTGATTCTGGCACCGGTAACGGCATATACAAACCTGTGTTTTGCCCTCCTCCTTTGTAACTTTGACATATGGAGCATCTTTCTATGAATTTGGAGACATCCCTCCTCAAATGAGGCCAAAAAAATCGTTCCTGCAGCTGGGATATGGTACTATCACGACCACTGTGTGCGGACAAACCTCCCGCGTGCGCTTCTTTGATGATTTGTTGTCGCCACGAAGAGTTTGGTATGCACAGCAAGTTGCCTTTAAACAGGAAACCATGCCGAATCGAGTAGTCTGCCACCGTTTCCTTCTCAATGCATTTCACCCAATAGCTCTTAAAGTATTCATCATCTGGATACAAATCCTGTAAGCATTCAAGTCCAGTGAATTCACTTTGCAACCTTGTCACCAAAGCAGCCCGGCGGCTCAATGCGTCTGCAACACGATTCTGCGTTCCGCTTTTATGTTTCAACACAAATGTGAATTTCTGTAAGAATATAATCCAGCGAGCATGCATTCTATTTATATTCTTTTGGGTGTTGATGTATTGGAGAGCTTTGTGGTCGCTGCAAAGCACAAAATCTTGATGCAGGAGATAGTGCTCCCATTGTTTTAAAGCCCTCACCACCGCATACAGTTCTTGCTCATAAACTGTCCATTTCTGTCTCGACGGACACAGTTTCTCACTAAAAAACTCTACTGGCTTGTTTTCTTGAGCTAGAACCGTCCCCACTCCAATGGTTGATGCATCCGTATCTACTGTGAACGGTTTGTCGAAATCAGGCAGAGCCAATACGGGCGCAGTAGACAAGGCGATTTTGATCTTCTCAAAGCTCTGTTGTTGTTCCTCTGCCCAAGAAAACTGAGACTGTTTAAGAATGTCTGTGATAGGCGCCATGATCGTGCTGAACCCCTTTATAAATTTTCTGTAGAAATTAGCCAACCCGTGAAAACTGCGAATATCAAATAAGGATCGAGGAGTTGGCCACTCAACAATTGCAGTCACTTTACGCGGGTCCACAGCAACTCCAGCGGCCGAAATGGTGAAGCCAAGAAATGAAACTTGTTGGGTTGCAAATTCACATTTAAGCAGATTCAAGTAGAGCTTGTTATGTCTCAAAGCTTCAAACAAATTTGATAAATGCTGTAGGTGTTCTCCCCAAGTAGGACTAAATACTAGTATATCGTCAAAATATACTACACAGCATACATTAAGAAAGGGCTTCAGTACTTCGTTCATCAATCTCATGAAAGTGGCAGGTGCATTGCAGAGCCCAAATGGCATCACCTTCCACTCGTACAACCCTTGGCGAGTTTTGAATGCTGTCTTCCATTCATCCCCAGGACGAATGCGTATTTGATGATACCCGCTTCGGAGATCCAACTTCGAGAATATTTTAGCTCCTGACAACTTGTCCAGCATATCTTCCATCCTGGGCATGGGAAAACGAAATTTTACCGTTATTTTGTTGATAGCTCGACTGTCCATGCACATTCTCCAGCTACCATCCTTCTTAGGTACCAAAAGAGCAGGTACGGCACATGGACTCATGCTCGGTTGCACTAGCTGTTTGTCTATTAATTCATCCACAATTTGCTGCAACACCTGATGCTCCTTAGGACTAAGCTTGTAATGGGGTAGATTAGGAAGAGTTGAGCCGGGTGTCAGCTCAATTTGATGCTGCACGGTTCTCATAGGAGGCAATTCGGATGGTAAATCCGCAGGCATGATGTCTGTAAACTGCTGCAGTAGAGCCTTAAGTTCGGCCGGTAGTACATCTTGTTGAGTTTTGGGGTTGTTCTCCTTGACAACCAATGCCATGAAGCACTGTGAATCGCGCCATGCATTGATCAATGCCGTTCCAGACACAGCAAAGAGTGCAGTTTTGGAGGTAATCTGAGCTTGTTCCAAATCCTGGGAATGCGGGAGCAATCGTAATTTCTTTCCTTTCCATTCAAAACTGTATGTGTTTGCTCGGCCGTCATACATAGCCCCAACGTCGAACTGCCATGGTCGACCCAATATCAAATGACATACGTCCATTTCTACCACATCGCACAAAACTTCACTAACATAGTGACGGCCAATAGAAAATGTCACTCGGCACATGTCCGTGACCGCGATCTCCACCCCTTTCTTGACCCAGCTTATCTTGTATGGGCTTGGATTCTTAGTTGTTTTTAATTGTAGTGCTTGTACCACCGCTCGAGAAATGACATTTTCAGTACACCCGCTATCGATTAACAAATCGCATATCTTCCCATTCACCGTGCATTTCGTTTTAAACAGAGCATTTCTCTGCGAATTATTTTGTTGCCGGGGAGCAATTAGCAGTCGTTGTAACACACAAACAACAGGTTCCCCCTCATCTCCGCCTACATCTTCTGGCTCCTCCTCCTGGTCATCCGGAGTGTCTTCAATTTCACCTTCCTCTCCGCCCTCCAACAATTGCAGTTGTGGCCGCGTGGGACACTCGTTGGACTTGTGTCCCTGCTGAAAACATCTAAAGCATTTAATAGTTGAGGGTCGGGCATATGGATTTTCTCTGTTAGGTGCTTTGTTTCTCTGGAACCCTTTCTGGTCCACTACTCTTGGGGCCGAACTAGTTGGTGCACTCGCTGCATTCGGCACAGACACCGCTTTGGATGAGCTGGGGAACGGTCCTTTATTGTATTCAGCGGATTGATCAAGCCCCTTCCGGCTCAGTCTACTGTGCAATTGCCGATTCAACTGCATTTCCACCTTCAGTGCGTAATTTACCGCCTGTGACAAGGACCAAATGGAATTAAGCTCCAGCTTGTCTTGAATCACATCCTTTAATCCGCCGATGTACCTCGCGACCAATTGATTGGCTGTTTCGTTTAAATTGTTCCTCGCACTCAACCGATAGAACTCCTCAGTGTAATCGTTCACGGTTCTCACCCCTTGGGAACAATGTTGGTATTGAACGTACAACATTTGTTCATAATCGGTTGGTAAGAAATGGCCTCTAAGAAGTTGTTTCATCCTGTACCAACTTCGGACTTGACCTCGTCCTTCCCGCCTTCTTGATTGAAGGATTTGCAACCACCACGCACTTGCGCCTCCTTTGAGCTTACAAGCCACATATTTCACCTGTTTTTCAGGCTCAATTTCCATGTATTCAAAGAATGTTTCTACCGCTCTTTCCCAATCTAAGTAGTCTTCGATGTGCAGCTTACCATCAAAGAATGGGATGTCTAGCTTCACTTTAAAATCTGTTTGAGGTCTTTCCGTTGGACGCCTTCTGCGAACTGGAACCAGCTCCCCGTCAGAGTCCGACACTTCCACCGTATTGACCTGCTCCCAATCACCTTCCGAATCTGATGCGTCCGGTATCTGGAATCCTCTGGTTTGCTCTCTGTCCATCCGAAACCCACGCCTCGTCGCCGGTGTGATCGTCGGAACGACAGTTCGGCTTCCTTGGTTCCGGTCCAGTCGAGCATTGAGTACCAATCAGACAGCATTTGTAAGATTTCTTGTTGAATACTTCTCTTCACCGCTGCTCTTCTTTTTTGCTCTTATTGT